GCAAGTGTCCACAATGTAGAGTCCAGGTCTTAGAAGTTTAAAGCAGAGAGTTAAGTACCCAAGCATTGTAAATATTTACTTTTCGACTGGTTGACTGGTATGATCATTCTGTCGCCTCCAGATTTTCAAAAGCCATACAAATCTTGCGGTATCCGGGGGTGTCTTTCAGCATCAAATGTTCCAGACCTTAATTTTCAACCTAGGTACTGAAAAGCTTCTACAACTATTTTTAACTTTCATCAGAACCTTTACTTCAAAGGATTTTTTTTTTTTTTTTTGTGGGAGTGTTTTCATTTTTTTTTTCATCTGCTGATTAAATATGAAAGAGTTCAATTCTTGACAAATAATACGTATCATAATTTCAACAATAGTAAATACTGTGAAGAAGCTTGTTGCAAAAAAAATCTAGTAATTATAAATTAATTATATAAAACTATTTACATTATTCGGACTATTGCCCTCAACTTTGTCGCCATATTTATTACAACGTTTCGGCCGTTGTACGCTCCGGCCTTCTTCAGATGGTTGGAATGTCGAACTGAACCCTTTATTTCACTCACTGGGGTAGACTGTTCTAGTTCTACGTGCCATGTTCAATGGATGTCAGTTATCAGTTATCTCCTGTTAATTCCTCTCTGCAAGTTCTCCACTCCCTTAACCAAGTATTGAACTCACACTCTTTGGTTCCTGTCACTGGATCTAACCAACGCTTTAGCCCACTGTGCCATGTGCCCAACCACCTGAAGAAGTCCGGCGCGTACAACGGCTGAAACTTTGTAATAAATATGGCCACAAAGATGAGGACAATCGTCCGAATAATGTAAATAATATACATAATACCTCATCTCAGAAATAGAGACAGATACTTTGTCTTTTATTTGACATAAAACCCAGTGCTGCTTTCTAGAAAGTTTATTGTATTACTCGAAGGTAAACAGAAATATACAGTTAAATAAACGCTAATATAATGCGAATCTTCAGTTTATGATTGATTTCATTTTCAGTATATTAACATTTTGCAAGGTATTTAAACCCAGATCTGTTTTTGAAATTGTAAGACTTTTTGAGGTAATAACGATTTTTACTAATACAAGTTCCACTAATTAACTTGTAGCTGAGGGAGAAGATGTAGACTCATAACTTCCATAAGGGTATTTGCGGGTAAATGAATATAATGACCCCAAATACAATTTGAACTCAGCTCTACTATTAACAATTCCGTGCCGTTATCCATATCACCCCCGCACATCTAAGCTTACAGTGCCTGGTATTTCAAGTAGGTCAGGACCATTGGAAAAAATATAGAAAATCTGATTTTTTTTTCACCTGTGCTACTCTAAGGCCTGCTTATTCAAAATTCATAAAGTCTCCAAACAGTCCCAAGTGAGCTAAATGCTCGTGAGCCCAAAATCCAAAATGGCCGTCTCTACCGAGACGACACATAACTTTTTAATCATTCAGATCACAAACATGTGTAATGCCGCTTTTCCAGCTAATTTGATGATGAGAAATTCAATTATAACCTCATTTTTAAGATATAAGGACAACCTGACCTAAAACAATAGATTACTAACCTAAACAGTATAGAGAATACGCCATTTTACTACAAGTAAAATGAATATCTTAAGACAATCTATGCTGCGGTCCCTAATAAATCTATATAAACAAGGTGCAGCAGCTGCTATACTGCAATCTTGTTGAATTTGAGTTTCATAATTACTTCTGAACTTGTGCAAACAATTAAATCCTGTGCATATTGTTGTCTTCTCATTCCAGAACTTTTATCTTCATTATCGTCATCTAGGGAAGCATGCCGTACAATTTAACCCAATAATGTTGGAACACATTTGGTACGCAGTTTAATCCTCTTTTACTACACCAGGTTTTACATTCACATTAAATCATGAATAAGATATGAGGAAGAGCTGGATATTTATCATTAAATATTGGATTTACCTTGCAATCACACAGCTGCCAGTCCCACTTCATTGGGACAAATTGTCATGGGTTCTCTAGAACTGCGACGTAAGCACCATATGCATGGAATTTGGCTGCTGAGTATGTTGGAGGAAGACTGGCAAAGTCAAACGTTGAAAGTGACGTCATCCTCTTCAAATACACAAAAAAACCTAGAGTTGTTGAACGATCATTTGAACAATACATTTTGAGAAGTGTTGTAGAGCAGTTTTCACAGTGGAGGCTTGTATTTCAATGAGTCGGTCCTAAAAGGGTCCGACGTACAAAACGTTAGGAACTTGCAATAATAGTTAATGACGCAGAAATCTAATTGTGATGGTTGATACTTCAATGTCCGACATCGACTGACTCACTCAACTCCACTGAGCTCAACTGACGACCGCTACTACTACTACTACTTATTATGTGTGGGAGAGTCTATTACAATAGAATAGGTAATGTTCTGGTATAACAAGAAGAAACATCTCAACAGTTCCAGCAATGTCATCATATGTTGCATCTGGCCTTTTGAGGACTTCAATGATCTGCCAGTCTTCTCCGACAAGCACTTTTAAATACTTCTTTTCTCGATATTATAGCGAGTGGATACCTAGTCACCTATGAGCAACATATAGGTGATACCTTGCCCCTGGATGCAGTGCTTGTTTGTTACTCTCTGCGCTAGAGACAGCATGTCTGGCATAATGCATGTATAGATTCGGGTGAGCTTTATCAACCAGCAGTACGAGTCAGTGGGTGTCTCTCTCGGCTACTATAATTGGATTTTGAGTGCTACCTGCAAATTCACTTGCAGTGCTACATATCAGAGCGTCTGCATCTGATTTGCTCTGGTGGCATGCTATATAAGCATGACCGTAAAAACCATCATCAATCTACCAATGAGCCTTGCCTGATTTTCACGGTTCGCTAAAATTGGGTGTTGGTTACCGGTTGCCTGCGAGCTCAGTTCAAAAAGAATGTCTTGGGATACATTCTGACGTTGGCCAATGCGGCTTTGCTGTGCAACCTTTGTTGACATGCTGAAATCAGGGTACCCATCAAATCACACGACAGAATCAGGTCCATTGTTGGTGATCACATAAATGACATAGTTGTCACAAACATCCATATAAGTGCAGCTGGTTGGCCAGAGCACACTGCGCAGACGATCTCTGTCTATTACATTTGTGGCGTTTGGTAAAGCTTCACACTGGCTTTTAACGCATTAAATAGCCAATTGTGGTTGATATGCTGTAAAAGAAAACAAACCAAACCAAACCAAACCAGGACGGGGATGAAGTTTATCGTTTTACCCAGGATATGGATGCAGTTTATCGTCATAGCCAGGACGTGTAATGCTCCTGGTCTAAAGTGCTTATCGATGCCGTGTTAACTAGGCTTGAAAGATATTTAACTTTGGTGATTCTACGAGAAACACTTATTCGGAGTGTTTTGGCTGTAAGCGTGGCGGTCCAAGCAACTGGCACCAACACATGTTACTGCTGAATATTCAGGTGAAATCAACGTAGAAATATTGTCATAGGTTTTAGTATAGAGTTTTTTGTTTTGTTTTGTTTTTTTTAAAAAAAAAAAGCTTCCACTGCTTTTTATTATTAATATGAGTCGTGTTATCTCGACATGAAAATGTTGGGTTAAGCTTGATGAGGAAAACAAAATCTAAATTAAACAGGTTTTGAACTCTATTGGATTTTCTATTAAACTTAAATTATTTTCAAACTTAACTTTTTTCTATTCTAATCCAAAATAGAAATAAACAAATAAAATAAACATTCTCAAAATACAGAAGAAAAAAATGAAATTATTTCCTATTTGCTATAGACAGCATCCGTGTTTCTGTTCTAATTAAACGAATAACCGCGGAGAAATTCAGAGATAGCTTTAATGTTTTCAATAACTATTAAACGAAATAAATACTAAACATGGAATCAATAGCCAATTGAAGAAAAGCGGAAAAAGAAAGAAAGATAAAAAGAGAGAAAGAGAGAGAGAGAAAAATGTGAGAGAGAAATTAAAAGTGAGAGAGAGAGAGAGAAAGAAATGGTGATAGAAAGAAAGAGAAGTAAAAAAGGATGTAGGATAGAGAAAAAACGAAGAATGTAAGAAAGAAAGAAAGAAAGAAAGAAAGAAAGAAAGAAAGAAAGAAAGAAGGAAAGGGAGACATAAAGATAAAACGAAAGGAATGAATAAAGAAAGCAATAAAAGAATGAAGAAAGAAAGAAAGAAAGAAAGAATGTAAAATAATCACGTGAAATGAAGGAAGAAAAATGAAATTAAGAGAAAAGAAGAAAGGAAAATGAAAGAATTAAGAATACAAAGAAGAACGGGAGAAACCTAGAATGACAATCTGACTGTAATGGAAATAAATGTGTGTGAGGCGAGGAGAGGGATAAATAAATAAACAAACAAACAACGAAAGAAAGAAAGAGAGAGAGAGAGAATAAAAAAAACAAATGACAAAAGTAAGAGAAATGAAGGAAAAGACATTGAACGAAAAAGAAAGAAAGAAAAAGAAAGCAAAAGTAAAAGAAATTAAGGAAAAATGAAAGAAAACGAAAGAAAGAAAAAGAAAGACAAAAGCAACAGAAATGAAGAAAAAACAATAAAGCAAAAGATAAAAGAAAGAGAGTAAGAAAGAAAATGAGAAAAAGTCAAAGGCAAGGAAAAAATGAAGGAAAAAACAATTAAAGAAAAAGAAAAGAAGAAAGAAAGAAAGAAAGAAAGAAGGAAAAAGTGAGACAAAAACAAGAGAAATGAAGGAAAACAATGAAAGAAAAAGAAGAAAGAAAGAAAGAATAAAGAAAAAAGGAAAAGAAAGAAATGAGAAATGAATGAAAAAACAATGAAAGATAAACAAAGTAAGGAATAAAGAAAGAAAACGGAATTAAAATTGAAGGAAATAGGAACAAAAAAAGAATGGAAGAAATCCAGAATGACAATAATAGTGGGTGGAGGGACGAGAGAGATAAACAAAGAGGAGGAAATTAAACAGAGAAAGAAAGATGGAAAAAGAAAGAAAGACCGAATCAAAAGAAAGAAAGAAAGAAAGAAAGAAAGAAAGAAAGAAAGAAAGAAAGAAATCCAAGGCAAGAGAAATGAACAGAATGATTGACAGGAATGGAAAAGAAAAAAAGAAAGAAAGTAAGAAAGACAAAAATAAGAGAAATGAAAGAAAAAAGAAAAAAAAAAGAAAGAAAGAAAGAAAACGAAATTAAAATAGAAAGAAATAGAAAAAAAGAATGAAAGAAATCTAGAATGAGAATATGAGTGAGTGACGGGAGGAAAGGGTTAGACAAAAAGAAAGAAAGAAAGAAAGAAAGAAAAAAGAAAGAAATCCAAGGCAAGAGAAATGAACAGAATGATTGACAGGAATGGAAAAGAAAAAAAGAAAGAAAGTAAGAAAGACAAAAATAAGAGAAATGAAAGAAAAAGAAAGAAAAAAAGAAAGAAAGAAAGAAAACGAAATTAAAATAGAAAGAAATAGAAAAAAAGAATGAAAGAAATCTAGAATGAGAATATGAGTGAGTGACGGGAGGAAAGGGTTAGACAAAAAGAAAGAAAGAAAGAAAGAAAGAAAGAAAGAAAGAAATAAGAAAGAAAGAAATCCAAGGCAAGAGAAATGAACAGAATGATTGACAGGAATGGAAAAGAAAAAAAGAAAGAAAGTAAGAAAGACAAAAATAAGAGAAATGAAAGAAAAGAAAAAGAAAAAAAAAAAAAAAAAGAAAACGAAATTAAAATAGAAAGAAATAGAAAAAAAGAATGAAAGAAATCTAGAATGAGAATATGAGTGAGTGACGGGAGGAAAGGGTTAGACAAAAAGAAAGAAAGAAAGAAAGAAAGAAAGAAAGAAAGAAAGAAAGAAATAAAGAAAGAAATCCAAGGCAAGAGAAATGAACAGAATGATTGACAGGAATGGAAAAGAAAAAAAGAAAGTAAGAAAGACAAAAATAAGAGAAATGAAAGAAAAAGAAAGAAAGAAAGAAAGAAAGAAAACGAAATAAAAATAGAAAGAAATAGAAAAAAAGAATGAAAGAAATCTAGAATGAGAATATGAGTGAGTGACGGGAGGAAAGGGTTAGACAAAAAGAAAGAAAGAAAGAAAGAAAGAAAGAAAGAAAGAAAGAAAGAAAAAGAAACAATGACAGAAGCAAGATAAATGAAGAAAAACAATAAAAGAAAAAAGAAAGGAAGAACGAATAAAGGAATGAAAAAGAAAGAAAGAGAAAAGTAAGAGAAATGAAGGAAAAACAACAAAAGTGAGGAAAAAGAAATAAAGAAAGCAAACGAAATTAAAATAGAAAGAAATAGGAATAAAATGAAAGAATCAAAGATATTCAGAATGACCATAAAAGTGCGTATGGGGAGAATGGTGATAGACAAAGAAGAAAAAACAAAGAAAGAAAGAAGAAAAATTAATAAAAAAGAAAGAGAAAAATAAGAGGAATGAAGGCAAAAACAATGAAAGAATAAGAAAAAGGAAAAAAACGAAATTAAAAAAATGAAAGAAATAGGAACAAAAAAGAATGAAAGAGTGAGTGTGGGTAGGTGAAAGAAAGAAAGAAAGAAAGAAAGAAAGAAAGAAAGAAAGAAAGAAAGAAAGAAAAAAAGAAAGAAAAAGGAAAAAAAAAATTAAAGAAATAGGGATGAAAAGAACAATTAATGAAAACCAGACTGACAAGAAGACTGACAATGTGAATGCCTGTGTGCGTGTGTATATGTGTGTTTGTGTATATGTGTGTGTGAATCAGTCAGTTTAATCAACGAGTGAATCACTAACTAAGATGGCGTAACAGTTGTCAAGAGGGAAAATGGAATGAACCACTAGATTTCGAAATTCAGCTGCAGCTGTTTTGTTTGTAGTTATTGATATTTAACGAAAACCTAATAAAATTCCTTCTTGCCAGATGGGCAAATTGATTCATCTCAGGCACACCGCAAGTATTGAAAGCAATGGGCCCTTAGTCAAAAACATTCCTATCGCCCTTAAACATTACATCCAATATCAATAAGGCCAGAAACTAAAATCAAACAAAAGGCTCATATTTGCCAGTTGCAAATCTTCTAATTGAATAATTTCAGTCAATGTGCGTTTTAATGCAACTGAGACATACCCCTGCTCACGGGCAGCGAGAGAATGGATGCGTTTTTTTTTTATAGAGTCGCCATCTCTGGAATGATTACCAACTAAAGTTGTAGAACTTCTGTTTGACAATAACCACGCCAACTACATTTAAATTCACAGTTGTCCTTGACTTCAATTGGCTTAAAAGAGCGACCAGTCTCACTTGATATGTAATCCAAGTGATAGATTTTCATGTTAACCAAAGGTATTTGTCCAAGTAATGAGTAGTGAAAGTAACAAAACTGGCTTGGTTTGGTTTGCTTGAAAAAGAAATCTTTTCTAAGCAGTTAACTGTTTTCTTACGCAAAAAAAAAATCAGTATATTTTTTTTTTAATTATTAAAAAAAATAGAAGTATGGCCGAAAGGACGCAAGCTGTCACTGAATGTGAATCAATATGAACAAAAGAAAGACATTATGATAGAACAATAAGTGCACAGGAACTAAGAAGACAAACGTTAACAAAAGATATCACATATAGCAGCCATATCAGGGTACTTTAACGTGGTGTAATTGCTAGCAAGCCTGTCTCGGAAAATAAGTTACGACTGAGTAGTGAGTTCGGTCTTCACTGCGTTCCCACCTAAAAATTCGGCCTTGTGCCACATCTAAGCAACACTTAAAAAATAGTTGGAGGCACTTGAACGTTGTTTAATGGTTAGCAAGATTGTCTTGCTACATCAGTTACGACTGAATAGTCATTTCGTTTCTCACTGGGTGCCCCATACATTCGGCCATGTGCCATTTCTTAGCTACACTTAGAAATAGTTGAAGGCACTCAAATGCGGTTTAATGGTTAGCAAGGTTGTCTTGCTACATCAGTTACGACTGAATAGTCAGTTCGTTTCCCACTGGATGCCCCATACTTTTGGCCTTGTGCCTCATCTAGGCTTAGATAATCATTTGAGTACCTTGACCTGGTGTAATGGTTAACAAGCATGCCTCGTAACATCAATTACGACTGAATAGTGGGTTCGTTCATAACTGGGTACCCCATACGTTGAAAAGAATTATTTCATTTTAACACTATCTATAGTACATTTAGATCGAACCTTATAGGTACCTTATCAAGGTAGCTAAGTCAACTGCATCATCTGAAGAAAGGAAAGCCCTTCTCTCTACGACAAAAAGACTGTGTGTATGTAGATTCAGGTTTTTTTGGTTTACCGGCATATCAACACCTCAATGGGTTATATAATGCCGACAAGAATTTTATTGCTGTTAATATATTTTTTCAAAAATACATTGTTGCTAATATTTTTTTTTTTTAAATGTATAGGTTGTAACAATTTTTTTTCAAAATTATATTGTTGCTAATATTTAAAAAAAATGTATTGGTATTAATATTTTTTTCAAAAATATATTATCTAGTATTTATCTAGTATTTTTTTTCTACATATTGAACTGAACCGTTTGTTTAATCTATGGGAGTACACTGTCCTCGTTTCATTGCCCATGTCTAGGGATATCTTCTCTTGTTCCACGTAGATCAATATACACCTAAGGAAGACCACTACAACTGAAATGTTATGATAACAAGGATGGGGACAATAGTCCTCATATAAATAAAGTAAATAAATGATTCTGATTAGCCATTAGGTTCATAAAAATATTTCAGAACTGCTTCACTTGGAGTATATGGTTTTAAAAATCACAGACGTCAATTTTTTTTTCAAATGAAAACTTAAAATATAATAGAAAGTCATTTTTGTTTTCGTTTTTTTTTTTCATATTCGGTACCGCCATTCTGAGTCTTGAGAACAAATTCCCTATAAACTTCATAAAGTAGTCTGCTAGTCAGAACTGGTAAATTTAGGGATAATCTCTTCATTTAAATTCTATCTCTACCAGACCCCTTCATGAAAAGTAAATGAGAAAAGTTAACCACAGTCACTCCTAGGTGTGAACCACCAACCACTTTCAAAGAGTTGATATGAGAGAAGATACATTCAGTAACGTTCTATCGCTGCCTGACACTTATATGAACCTATAAGAAAATTAACCAACGTCCAGTTTTAGGCACTCGTGCGCGTGTATCTTCCAAGAACCAATAATTTCAGTAAAGGTTACTTCATTCAAATTCTATGGCCGTCCTGTAATTTTACGGCAAGAAAAGACGAAAATCAACCAAGGCCCAGTTTCAGGAATTCGTCCGAACCGATAATTTTAGTGAAGATTCCTTCAGTTATAATATATCTTCGCCCTGCACTTTTAAGATAAGGAAACGACAAAATTTAACCAAAGTCCAGGCTTCAGGGCTTCGTCCAAACTGATAATTTCAATGAAAATGTCTTCACTTAGATTCCATATCTGCCCAGCGACTTCATGACAAAAGCCATAATTAAGCAATATCCATATTCAGTGACCCGTCAACACTCATATAGCACATCACTCCTGCTTTCACTTGAATCTGATGTCTATGTACTAAACGTGGAAGTGTCGAGTGAACTAGACAACTTCTTATATCCTCATTACGTATTACGTATTAATGCGAACTTTCACTTTAATTATCCTTATGACAAACCTCTTATACTTGAATGGGGATATATTCTACTTAGTCAATTTGTTTAGAACTAGAAAAGTTCTTATCTACAAGAAAATTGTTTCAAGTCTCGAATAAAATGGTAAATGGTAATATATATATATATATATATATATATATATATATATATAAAATAAAATGGCGATACTCGTTTGGAAAAACCAACTTGCAGTAGAAGAATTCGGTACCCAAGGAAAAATGGAGAATAAAAAAAAGAAAGAAGAAAGGACGTTAAACCAAGGCGAAAACAATCGTCCAGTGTTCAAGCTCGGAGTCCAAAGAAAAAAAAACTCCCAAACAGATTAAAAAGACAACTAAGTAAAATGTTCAATACACGAAGTAGAGGAAATCCTAAGATAATCCTAAGGAGACAGGCAAACCTACCTAGGATTCACCTAAACGGATCTTCAGGGTAATGCTGGGTGAAAAGGAAGATTATGGACCAGAATTTATAGCTCAAACTAAAAATAACCATGACCACGTGACAAAATAATAATAATAAAAGAAGTCAAATAATATGTGTGTGGGGGGTATGTACTTTATTGAAAAACAGAAAAAACTATTCTAATAACCAGCTTTTCCTAGGTAGGTTTGCCTGGCTCCTTAGATTATCATATATATATCATATATATATATATATATATATATATATATATATATATATATATATATATATATATATATATATATATATATATATATATGGCACATGGAGTTTAAACAGAATGCAGTATGGTGCAGTGTTTGTTAGTAGAATGCCAGACTGGTGAGAAAATTCGCTTTCCATGAGACCATGGTTCGAGTGGTAGATTTATCAGGAAGTTAAAAAAAACTAAAGCGAATGATTCCACTGCTTCTGATGACTATCGATCAGCTTGTCAATATGAAGTTCCAAGCATTCGTTCAGCTTCAGACGCAAGTTTCCTCTGTTTTCAATCGAGTAGTCTTTCTATCACTGCACAATAAAGCAAAAAAAAAATTCAAATATATTTGCAAAAAGAAACAATTATTTTAAGAAAAAAAATATCGAAAATTTTATTTAAATTATTTCTGAATTACTTGTCTTTAAAAATAAAGTAAAGTAGTTTGTTTCTTCCTTAGTTTACACCAGAGTAAAATAAAATAGAATTTCACAAGCCCACCAGGCTCGTTTTTAAAATGTTTCACTTTCACTTGCGATTGCCACTGGCAAGAAACAAATTTCAAATTAACTTGAATTTGTTAACGCAACAACATTCCCTAAACTGCAACTCCAAAATGTGATTTATAAACTCAAGTGCACAAAATACAGAAATCCTATATCTGTATGAAAACTCAAAGCAATATATATATATATAAATATATATATATTTATGTTATAACACATCCACAAATGCAACAAATGTAAATTTAAAATTATGCCCTATAAATCATATAGACAATATAATTTTACCTACAGATACAAGAAAAAAAAATTTTTTTTTCGTTTCATTTCATTTTTTGGAAGTGCTATCCGATGATCCGGCGTTCTTTAAAAGGGCTCTGGTGAAATAAATTATTATAATGGTACCTTAAAGTGGTCTGTTTTTCTTAATATAATAATATATATATATACATATACACATATATATATATATATATATATATATATATATATATATATATATATATGTGTATGTGTGTGTGTGTGTGTGTGTGTGTGTGTGTGTATATACGATTCTTATATACAAATATATATTTAAGTAAACACAATTTTATTTTCCTTCGTCCCATCTCTCTCCCCGACCTCTTCTCTTCCTTTTTTTTTTCCCCTCCTATCCTAATTGTCTATGGTGTGTATATGTCACCACGAAATGTATCTTTATGCATTAGACATCCGTCGACTTTCTTTCTCTCCTCTTTTTAAATTACCACCCCCCACCCACCCACATCTCCTAAAATTCTCTCTGTTAAGGTTTCATGTCCCTCCTCCTCATACTTACACTTTCTCTAAATTCTATTTTGATTTCCGGAGTTGTTTTTTTCTGTTTTCATTTTGAATTTGTAGGTCTGATGATTTGGATCGTATTTACGATTCCAATGGAATAAATTATGACCATGGAATATTAGTGTTTAAGCCTTTTTATTATATCCTTACTCTGTCCTGGACATTGAGTTCTACCTGGATTCTTCCTCTTGGAAATTTTTTTTTTTTTTTTTTCTGAAAATATACATGTATGGGAATTTTTTATATATATTTTGCATATGTATGTATATTTTCCACTAATATTTTCCACTAATATTATCTATCTATCTATCTATCTATATATATATATATATATATATATATATATATATACGATTCTTATATTCAAAAAGAAAAAAAAACTTATTTATAAAAGGATTAATAGAAATTGTGTATATATACGTGCAATAGAAAGTGGGTGTTTTATAAGTGTGTACATGAGACACAATTATATGAACTTTCTGAGAGGCACACTATTCTTCTTTGTAGCTGTTTAAAGTGTATCAAGCTACTTACAGACACAATGCAAAAAAAAATAATAATACAGATGACATCAAACGATAACACAAAAACCTCATTCCCTCCCACTTACTCTGACCAATCGCAGTTGTTTTATTTCCCATTAAGCAAGGGTAGCTTTTTTCCTCCATTACACGAAAAATTTACATT